ATCGCCTCGGGCAACTCTTACACTTCTTTCATGCTCTCCAAACTTCCCTCATGCTCCATAACTTGATAGTGCACGCTAAAGCATGAATCAGTTGTTAATTGCATAATTACTGTTGTCATTGTCGCATAATGTATACAACCTGGTGACACTCTTTGTTGAATAATCTTGTCCACAATTGGTAGTCATCATATAGTTGTATAGTTCAGTTGTAGAGTGTTTTAGAGAACCATTCTGAAGGATCTCAAGATTAGTTTCTGTTTGGAATAACTCTGAGGGATCTCCAGATAAGTGTATGATTAGAATTGCTTTGAAGGATCTTGAGATTAGTTTTTGTTTTAAAGCCATTCCAAAAGATTTCGATTTTGTAATTTAGTTTATCGGAGACTAGAGAATAGACTGATAGAGGAACATTGAGTGGTCATAGAGTAGAAAACATTCAGTAAGGCTTCACTGAAAGTTGGCCGTTACCCATTTCTACTCCTGAGCGGAGAGTGGTACTACAAAGGTAAAGTTTCTTGTCCAAGAACACAACACAATGACCATAACAGATCTCAAACACAGACCTCTTGAACCTGGGTTTAGTGTATGATACTGACACCCTCCCCCAAACTAACCAACTAAGGCAGGTTAACCCTTATTCACTCCCCAGATCCCATTAGTAATTCTCCTTACTGTCCGCAATACAATTCTTATGAGGTTAGTTTGGAGAATTTGGTACAGGATCAACTGATAATCCCCTGATTTTCTCATTACTTGTCTGCTTGATACTGTATTGATAATTGTAAGGAGAAATTCTGTTTTGGTCACTCATGGGAGTTTTCCTTAACATGAAGCAACTAGGAGTATTACAGGGTTCGTGCCTTTTTAAGAAAAAAATTTCAAGGAATTTTCCGGGATTTTTCCAGTACTCCAAATTTCACCATAAAACCTTTCATTCCTAAGATTTCAAAATCAATTCTCCTCCTTGCAGTCTATACTGGGGGGGGTAACCTTGCAATGGACTGGCATCTCATTGAGGGGGAGGGGTTGTAATACCAGGGTTTGCATGGGTCCTGGAAAACCTGGAAAGTCCTGGAACTTTATTTTGAGATTTTCCAGGACTGGAAAGTCCTAGAAAAAGACTACAAGGTCTGGATAGTCCTGGAAGTTTCCTTAAATCAAGCAATAAAGTTTCAGAATTTACATTATAAGAAATGTGTATTTCATCAGACTTCCCTCACATTTTGCCAGAACCCAGTTACACTCCTGGGTGAACAGAAACACTGTGAAAGTATATTGATTTTCTTGAACTTTGAACTTGGACCTCTCAACTCATAGTCCATTGCACTGACCCTTAGGCCACTGCATCAGTCCCACACAAAAATATAATGACCTGACATATTTATCAAACTTGAAGAAAACTTTCAATTGAAAAAAGATCATCATTTTGAGGCACTCTACGCATTTTCTAGCCATCTGTTACATCATAATTATGATCCCACAAAACCAATTTTTTTTCAACAAAAAAAGAGAGAATGTGTACTTTACCATCAGATCATGTACGTCAATCAGCTCATCCGGAATATCCACTACCTGACAATCATGAACAGTAGACACCATAACTGTGTCTTGATTGACTGCTCCCATGGTAAACCAACATGGCATATTCCATATCAGCATATCCCTCACCTTTGCCAATGCGATAACCTGTTGTGTGATATCAAATGAGGATGAACACTTGTGCATTTCCACCAGGATGTGTCAGCCACAAAAATTGCTTAAATCATGCTGTCCCAAATAACAAGTACAATGTATCACAGGCATCAGATGTCAATTGTACACAATCTGTCTTCAAGGCTCTGGGAAGTTTAACACTTTTGCTGCTATGAGTGACTAGCATGTAATTTCTCTATACAATATCACTCCTGAATCACACATCAAGGTCACAAGAGTACAGAAAATGATTACCAACCAGAGAAAATTCTGATTTTAAAACAAATTCTCCTCATCAGCAGCTTAGGTAATGTATAGAGGAAAGAATGGAGAATATGCGCACTGACATTAAGGTGTAAAGAATTACAGGGCTTGACACTAACGGTAGCCAACTAGCCACAGACTATGGTAGTTGAAATTCAGTTTTGGCCCGTGGTTTTCGATTTCCATTAGCCAGTTTCACACAACCCCTCTTTTCAGGTTATCACCTGATGCACAGACTACCAATCTGTTAGACTGCAAACAAGTATCTAACAATTTTTTCCAGTCTCGTTATCAGTCTCTTTTTTCCCTGTTTTTGAAAGCAGAGGCAAGAAAGGATCCCAGTGCCATGATGGCTAAAATGGATTGAAAGACGAAGAAGAGAAGAAAACTTTATTCAAGAGTCAATGTATTTAGCTTTACAAGTGTAAAAAATAATTAGAGACGCTTCTTATATACTAAATATACTTGTTACTTAACCTAAAGAAGTTTAAAGATAAATATACTGGTTATTTACACATTCAGAGTAAAATTTCAAATGTAAAACCTGAGCCTTATTTACATATTAATAATACTTTTAATGGCTAAAAATTAATTTTGTACAGAATGATGAAATCTTATTTTATGAGCAGATTTCACAGTCCAGGCAGGTGTCTTTTAACACACTGGTTAAAAGACACTGGTTAAGACACACTGTTTCTAGGTCGTATTTGATTATTCACAAGAAACTGGGCTCGACCCTTACCTTTTGAAGACACTGCCACAGAACCAATCACAATAAGGTCAATATTGATCTTATGTTCCAATCCCACAGGTGCGCTGTAATTAGTAATACCTTCCCTGGTCGCACACTTCTTCAGCATTGCAGTATTAGCCCCTGTCGGTGGTAAAATGCGGTTGAATAAACCAGATTTTAACCGTGGTGTTGGGACAAGCAACATTTTCCCTTCGTGTAACACCTGGTATCTCACCCATTCTTGCGGCTTGTCCGGGTTCACCTTGATAGTTTTCGCCCTCTTAAATATTTCCATGGCAACGACTCTTTCGCCAGCTGCATTTGCACCCTTAAAATTTGGGATACGATTGTGAACTGGCCGTGGAAAATTCGCCAAATTGTTTTTCTCTATGTAGTCCCATATATGTTGACGAATCGAAGCTTTTGTTGTGATATCTGGAGCCTGAGCACTCATAGCGGCTCGCTTTAGTTTAATTGAATTGTTCTCTGAATTGGTAGTCACCGTGGATGGAATTTCATCGCACAGTAATAAAAGAACAAATTCAAACTTTGCGCGGTGACCGCCATCTTGGAATTTTAATATGAGCGTTACTGGGGTCTAATGTCCAAGTATCAATTCTTCGTTCCCAGTGCCACACATGGGGGAGCACATATACCTGAGAACGAGGTAGGTGCCAGTTGTGTGGTAGACAACGTGGCGGATTTGAAAATCAATAATTTATTTATCAAATAAAAATGAACTTTTGTCCTAAGCTAGCGAATAATCTTTAGTGTTTGTGACAGAAAAATAAGTACCAGTTGGGCAGCCAGACTGATACGACGCCTTTGTTGGAGTTGTCTTCCTAGCAAGACAGACAAATACGAAGAGAGAAAATTCATAGTTTGAAGAAAAGAGAGCAAACGCCAGGAGTCGCTGGTACTATGCACCCGATGGGACAGTAAGGGTCGAAGACGCTTACTGCTGCTCGTAATGTTCTCTGCTGCTACGCAGTGCTAATAAACCCGATCAGGTCGAAACAACGGCCCACAGTTGCATCGTTACTTTCTGTTTAACTGCATCTTGTCGTGGCTGCGTTTCGTTTTCTATGATGGAACAGCCTGGCTACATTGGAGCGGAACTCGTTGTTCGGCTCTTTGCACGTTGTTCTTTTTTCGCCATCACCTCACCCCTCGATACCATGCTCCCTGTTTTTGTTTATTTGACGGAGCGGATGCAGATGTTCCTCTCAGTCTCAAAAGTTCATCCATATTTAGCTATAACAGTTAAAAAAAAAACTTAAAAATATCCCTTTTGAAAACCATTTTATTTCTTTTTTAATAGTAAACAATTTTTGTGCTGGTTAACTAAAACAATTTTTTATTCACTATGACTTGACTTAAAAAATCGCAAATCGGTTTCCTCATTGCCGACAGCGACTTAGCAAAGAACCATTACTGCCCTAATAATCCTTACTTCACGTTTCTGACAATTTTTCTCTTAGACAGACCATCTGTTCTGTCCCATCGACAATAAAAATTGACGCAAGACTATATAGCACATACACAGAGGTGAAACTTGTTTCTTTAGCAATATCTCTCATAATGTTTTATCCTCAATCTTGACGTCACCGTGTTTATCCACCGACAAACACACTCAATATTTAAATTTGGTCCGTCGAATGGAAAGAAACTTTTGCACTTTGAATATGCAAAGACAAAAGAAACAGCTGCTCTCGATATCAAGGCCTTGTAGATTAGTGCGAGGTTTAGTCCAAGCGCTTGACTCAAACGGCGTTTCCTTCACAGTCGTTTGGAAATGAGGGTATCCTACCTTGCGATGGAGTAGTGAGTTAATTCACTGAATTCTTACATAGATATATTGTCAACGAAGGCCGACATTTTCGCTGAGTAACAGGGCAAACGACTTTGTTATCAATGATCTTTTTCGCCAAGTTTATGTTCAGTTCTAAGAGAGGCTGATGGCTTTCAACAACAGCATGGCCGTCTCGGGACAGAGCAACACCAACGAAACTTTGTGCTGCGAATCGGTGCCTCAAGAATCTTCAGAGGAAGTTTTTGTGTTTCTAATAATTACTTTAATCCTGTGTGTTTTGGGTAATAGTGCAGTTTGTATTATAGTTTCACGCTATTACCAGTTACACACTGTGACCAACGCATATTTCGTGAACATGGCCGTAATTCAAATGCTCTTCGCTTTATTCTCTATTCCGCCATATCTGCAATTATCAAGCTCAAGGTTTGAAGCGGAAAATTCTGAGTGGCTTTGTGTTCTTATTGAGTTTACTTTTGAGCTTTTTTCAGCTCTTTCGAACTTAGCGTTAACTCTTGTTGCTGTGGAACGTTACTATGTTATCAGCAATTCCGGCAAGAAGAAAATTTCGGCCAAAATCACGGGAAGACTTGTAGCTTTTGCCTTCACACTGGCACTAACTTTTTCTGTTTTATGGGCAGTTCTGGCAAAGGGATCGAATCATTGTCTGAATTCTTCAGTCTTATTGTGTTTTCCTGTAATAAGCGCTCCTAAAACGAAAACTTTACGAACTCTGAATATCATTTACATTACGTTGTGTTTTTTCCTTCCTATGTTGTTAATGGCTGTATTATTTATCAAAATGTCAAAATTACTATGGAGTGGATTTAACAAAGTACGGCCTCTTGGAGTTGGGAATCAAAACACTATTCGCTTCTTTGCTGAAATCAAAACAACAAGGACAATGTTCTTTTTATCGATTCTTCATCTCTGCTGTTGGCTGCCACTTTGCATACTTTCCACTTATTTATCTCTTCCACGTAGAACCGGTGAGCTTTATCCAAGATCAGCGACAGCAAAAATTGTTACAATTTGTCTAGCGTTAGTCTCCTCTTGCGCAAATCCTTTGGTGTACGCGCTACGAAATCCGCGTTTTAGTATTATGCTCAGACCGAATAAACGGTCAAAAGGAAAGAAACGGGTTCAGTTTTACAAGGATCAAGAAAAATGCAAGAGCTCTACCGTAAGGACATCTCCATCTTGGGCACAAAGATCGATTTGTTCAGTTGTATATGATGCGAGTAGAAGCGACGAAACACAGGCGACATCTTCGACATTGCTGTCTTAAACACTCGAGTATAAGGACATTCTCTCGTGTTGACGTGAGAGCAACAAAAGCATGTCTGTTTTTACGGAACAAAAGGACAGCTGCTTCTACTGCGAAAACCCTAGAGTTCCTGCCTTTTTTCTGATTGTCTTTTCTAAATTTAATTTTTATGCAAGACACACTATGAGTGTAACATTCTGCGCGGTTCTTGAAAAAATCTTATAGAGTACTCGAGTCGTCTCCACGTTTTGCCTAAAACACAAGGATTTTACATCAATATTTTATTCCTCTGAAGTCTCTGGTAAATTTCTTGCAGCCTCGGCTCAGCTTATGCTTTCTCTGCGAATTAAATAGTAAAGAAGATCTTCAGTTAACTTTCTGTGATATCTATTTCGAAATTTCCGGGCCAAGAACCAGGAGCCAGGAGAGTGATTACTTTTTAATTTATAACTCAGCATTTGAACGGGAAATTAGCATTAGATCAGCATTAGATCGAGTAACTCCAGTTGTTACAAAAGCCACAAAGAAATTGTGGAAATCTATTCCTCTATTCACGTAAACTCTCATTAAAATTTGTCCTATTATTTATAATTTCTCACAGAAATATATGTGATAAATATATAAAATTAGAATCTATCTGGAGGAGATGCTTTAGCTGGCTGTATGGTGCTCAATACATAACGTAGAGCGTAAATAGAAATAGTAAAAGTTGTTGATTTTACTATTTCTAAAATTAGAATCTATCTATAAAAAGGATGAAAAGTTCCAGTATTATTTAAGGTGTCTCTGCAACCGGCAGAAATAACCGAGATTTTGTAAATCCTTGATCGTTGTCTGTCTCACACTTGATTCTTTCGTCAGTGAAACGAGGAGAGATTACTTTAAATAATTTGCATGTTAAAAATATTATTATATGGAATAGTAAATACAGCCGAGTGTAACTGCATCGCCTTATATATTTTTTGAAAATACCAAATTAAAATGGATCCTTTTCAGTTATTTAGTAGGTAGGTAGGTAAATAGGTAGATAGTTTATTCTGATTAAAATCGCAGCCAAAAGCTGAATTAGATTAATCGTTACAATAGTAAAATCTAATAAAAGTATAAGAAAATTAGAAGAAAAATGTACACAAATTAACTACAACTACTATATATAAATGTGTTCATGAGTCTCTTCGTCTTAGCCAGAGGAACATTAAATTTCCTCTTTCGTCTGAAATTGAGTTCACAATTGTTATGAGGAGGCAAGAGCTTATACAGTTTATGGTCTGAGTTACAAGTGATTGGAATCAAAAAGCTTAGTTGTGATAGACTGCCTGCGTTGGGAGAGCGTCTCCAAATTGGCTTGATTTAATGCGTCGCTA